CACACACAGATCATAGGCAGTTGACAATAGGCAGGCAGCAGGACAGACTGAAGGGCAGGTCTCTGATAAATTATTTCTTATCGCCCTTTTTATTGTGATTTTTTAGTCACATACACAATTAAAAACATAAATTAACGAGTCGTGTAAAAAGAAATTGACATTTGTATTTTAGAAAGCCGTTCAATTTGACTTCAAATTACAAACTACACCCCCAGAAACCATAATTTGTTTTAGATTTTTTGACACATGCACAAATAATAAATAAAGAATTGAAAAGTGCAAAAACAAATTGACATTTGTAATTTAGAAAGCTGTTCAATTTGACTTCAAATTACAAACTACACCCCAGAAACGATGAACTTATAGACTCATTGAAAGCGTACTCGAAAATCATGTAGTAAATAAAGAGGATATGTATTAACAGGAAATGATGAATAGAGTGTACTTTACTTATATCTGACATATTCAAATTATAAAATTATATATGTTATTACTTCATCATCTCTTCTGCGTTCTATTAATATATTATTCTAACCTCGTTTTACTGTCTTCATTACCCTTGGCAGTTGGAATTCAATATAAGAGTAGGCCGTAATGCTGCTGCCCGGGCAAAATTTCCCTCATAGCACACTGTATGGTGTATGCCCTTCTTCATTAGCCTAGTATAGGATCAGAACAGTAGGTCGTTAAATCCCATTTCATTTCATTTCTGTCTTCATTAATGAAATGGGGTTTAACGTCCTACTGTTCTGCTCCTAACCTAGGCTAATGAAGACGGGCATACGCCATACTGTGTGCTATGAGGGAAATTTTGCCTGGACAGTGGCACTACGGCCTACTCTTATATCAAATTCCAACTGCCAAGGGATCTTTTACGTGCATGCCAATGTGTACATAGGACCTCAGTTTTTTGTCCTATCCGAATGAATAGACAGCTGTCCTTGTCAACCCTCCGACCTGCATCACTGACAAGGGGAAACCACGCCGGAAAATCCGGATGAACTTTCTTGGCCAATGCAGGGATTGAATTCCCGACCTCCAGGTTAGCGAGCCAGCGTTTTAACCACTTAGCCACCGTGATCCCCATATCTAGCTATCAAACAACGTATGTCACCCTCATAGCACACTGCATGGCATATGCCCATCTTCATTAACCCAGTCGGAGTAGAACAGCGGGATGTTTAAAACACATTTCATTCAGTAATCAAACAAGGTATGTCACCCTACCTAATGGTCAGATCTATTTCAGAAGGCCATCTGCAGATTTCCCCAAGGTCACAAGATGTAAATAGGGTTAGGGTATGTGATTGTTGCCGAGGATTGTGGGCTAGGTTTATGGTAAGGCTTAAGGTTAGGTCTTGGATTAGGTTTATGTATATTTTCACAAAATATTTAAAAAAAAAAGTTTCTGTCATTTAAATTATTGACCCGAAACCCAAAAGGAATTTTCATTTGTTCATTGTTGTATGCAGCAAAAACGAGTGCACAGTGTAAAAAGTACTAAAGAGTAAAGTATTAGCCTATGATTAATCAAAATGAAGTTACTGGATGAAAAAAAAAATCTCCTGGATTCTCCTGTATTTTCATTGCTGGTCTCCTGTTTTTTTCATATCCTGGGGGATGACACGTCTGGTTTAGGGTTAGTGCTAGCCCTGTTTATATCTCGTGACCTTGAGGAAATCAGCAGGTGGCCATTTGATATAGATCTAACCAATACCTAAAATCCAACCATATAAGCACTATTCTAGTTATAATTGATAATTGATATTTGCATTAAAGCGATAATTTCATATTTTTAAGTTATATTTTTAAAATGTATTAAAATAAAGCCTTAAAATAGATGGTATCTATAAACAGTTCTACCTTGTTAAAGAATAATCCTATTAATCCTATAATTCACTATTGCCAGTTGAGAAATTGAAGATAGCTATTCCATGGGGGTTGGGGGAATATTTCCGGGGTGAATGATTTTTAAGTGTGAGAATGATACCTATGATCGTATAATAGTGAGTTGACAACCTACTGAGCAAAAGACATAGAAATAATTATGTTTTGACTTTCTTTCTCACTTTAAGCATGAAATGTGGAAATTCTATGAAAATGGAATGATTATTAATTTTTTGATAAGTTGAATAATGAGGTGGTTTATGCATCATAATGTTTTTGGGGTTATATGACCCATTTATCAAATAATTAGGTTGTGTCAGACATCATCCCTCTATCATTATGTCTTCTAGGTTGTAGATTAACCTAGTTTTTAAATAATGAGTGTACCCACAAAGCACTTGACATGTTAAACAATGTAAATTGAGAGAGAGAGAGAGAGGGAGGGAGAGAGAGAGAGAGAGAGGGTTTAACTCCAATTGACACAAACTAGGTCATTTTGGAACTAACATATGGTTCAATTTTATTTCAATAATTCGCTTGCACATAGGAGTCTTTAGCAGTGGGAGATAATCGGAGGATCCGGAGAAAACCCACGAGGTTGAACAGTTGACTCTACTTCTTGTCACGTACAAGTGGATAATTGAAACCACGCCACTTGACTCAATGACAGGCCCTATGATTTCATGGCTCATGTGTACACGTTAAACCACTAGACCACCCAACCCCCCTTAAATAATATGAGTCTCAAGCCTGGAAATATGGCATCTGCCACAGACATTGTCAGACACAACAAATTCAGGCTTTGTCAGGCACAATCCCTCTATCTGGTGTCTGTCAATATGTCTTTTACCTATTCAAATTAGACTAACCTAGTTTTAAAATGATATGTGTCACTCTCAAGCCTGGAAATCAGGCCCCTGTTTCAGACATTGTCAGGTGCCATTCCAGACATTGTCAGGTGCTGTTTCAGACTTTGTCAGACACTATCTCTGATGTCTGTCATTTTGTCTGCCACAGATTTGTCTTTTTTCAGTGTTTTTAATGATAGTATTAACACAAGTCTGGGCACATAGTTCAAAATAGCCCTAATTCAAAATTTATAAATAAAATGATTATTTCCTGGTCTGTATATCAGTGTTTTGTACAACAGTTATGACTAACTTATAAAATTTATCTAAATTATAATAAATCATTGATCAATGTTATGCATGAGGCATTGTATGAACTTTCAAGAACGTAGGTGAGGACATAAAAAGAGCCCTCGACAGTTGGAATTTGATGAAGAATTGGTGCAAATGATTTTCAAAGTTATTATTCATTCTACCTTCTAAATGAAAAACATTTGTGGACAGGTCCTTCAGTGTTGGTTCGATCCCTGCATTGGCCGAGAAAGTTCATCCAGATTTTCCGGTGTGGTTCCCCCTTGTCAGTGATGCAGGACGGAGGGCCTGACAAGGACAGCTGTCTAGTCCTTTGGATGAGACGAAAAACTGAGGTCCTGTGTATATATTGGAATGCACGTAAAAGATCCCCTGACGATTGGAATTCGATATAAGAGTAGGCGATAGTGCTGCTGCCCGGGCAAAATTTTCTCCCATAGCACACTGTATGGCGTATGCCCGTTTTCATTAGCCCAGTATAGGAGCAGAACAGTAGGACGTTAAACCCCATTTCATTTCATTTCATTTCCTTCAGTGTTGTCTGTCCATGGCTATGGATTGATTTACCCGACAGTATAAAAAAACTCTAAATCTCAAGATAGTTTTATGAAATCACTAAAAAGGTATCACTTTCAAAGGACCTTCACGAATTAATGTATCATTAGTATAGTATATTTATGTACATTATAAATTATATATTTTATTAATTGAACAGTGCCACTGAATGTATATATTGCAGTAATGAGCGCTATATTAAATGTAATAATCTTAAACTTAAAATTAAACGACAACGTCCGTGTAAATTTCCCTCAAGGCAAATTCCACAGCATATGCCTGCCTTCAGTAGCCTGGTTGGTGCAGAAAAGTAGGATGTTAAACCCCATGTCATTTCATTTATAATACAGTTTCCACCAGGGGATCAAAAAACCACTGATATCACATAAAGACTATGGTACCCAATTATACCACAGCCAAATAATATGCTACATCAATTGAATTATTAACAAATTAGGTTTACAAAAGCATGACATTATTGATGTTGGTAATCTAATTTATAATGTCTGTTTCAAATTAAATAATTTGAAGAGCACAGATATTACATAAATGGTTTCATGTCAGGGGGTTGGATGGCCGAATGGTTAGCATGTGCGCGCTGTATCATAAGGCCTGTCATTGAGTCAACTGGTGTTGTTTCCATTCCCTGGTTGTACGTGACAAGGAGTAGGGTCGCCTGTCCAACCTGGTGGGTTTTCTCCAGGTCCTCCGGTTTCCACCCACTAATAAAGACCCCTGCGCGCAAGCGAATTATTGAAATAAAATTAAACCATATGTTAGTCCCGAAATGACCTAGTTTGTGTCGAGTGGAGGTTAACCTCTCTCTCTCTCTCTCTCTCTCTCTCTCTCTCTCTCTCTCAATTCTATGGAATGTAATTACTGCTTATTACTGAGAGAGAAATGGGGTTTAACGTCCACTCGACACCAACTGGGTCATTTCGGGACTAACATATGGTTCAATTTTATTTCAATAACTTGCTTGTGCGTAGAGGTCTTTCTGTGGGGGAAAACCAAAGGACCTGGAGAAAACCTAATTCTTGTCACATACAAGTAGAAAATCAAAACCACACCAGTTGACTCAATGACAGGTCTTATGATACAGCAATGTTGCTCAGTAAGAAACTGACATATTCCATAGTATTGTCAACTGAGTAGATATTACATAATACCAAATTAAATGTCAAACGTAATTTGTGTAAAATATCACAACGGAAGTCATATGTAACCAAGACTAAACAGCTTTGATCAAGGAATATCAGTGTTAGGTTACCGTAGCCGAGAAGTAGGAAAAAATCTATACCATTACCACTTTCAGTTTCCCCTGGTCTAACCTCTAATCCTAATTGACAAAAAATTACACAACTTCCTCACATCAAACAAGAAGAAAGAGAAAACTACCTGCTTCAGTTGACAGAATAACACCATCTAATATCAAGAGGAAATAAATTATAGCTGAACTTTGATCCCACGACCTTTCACCCCAACTTAAATATCATGTTAAAACGTATATCTATAAGTAATGCATCTCTACATGTATTTCAATATGGAGTGAGTTTTAAGGGTTTATTATAATTCAACTTGACATAATAATTTTTTATAAAGCCAAATTCATACATAAACCTCTTATAATAGTACATTATACATGTAAGGCCAGACCAGTAGGACTGGATTTACAAAAAACGCTATACAGTATCCTAGTGGCAATATGACTGGGTTTACAAGCTAATTTTTTTCGAATTTACACACCTGTTTTGTTTTTTTTTAATAAGAGAGAGAGAGAGAGAGAGAGAGAGATTAACATTACCTGGACAATGGTCATTAAGGGGACTACCATATGGTTTAGTTCATTATTTCAACAAATTATTTGCATGTATAGGTCTTTAAAAGTTCTGGAGGACCCGGAAAAAAACCTAAGTTGTTCCTTACCATTATAAAATTATTTGAAAGATTTTCGTTATTATCAAATTATTCAAAAGATGTTCCTACTATTATTATTATTATCTAACCGTTATTAATTTATTCACAAGATGTGATTACCATTATTAAATTATTTCAAAGTTGCGCTTTGATCATATTATTTGAAAGATGTGCTTACCGTTATCAAATTATTTCCAAATACAGAATGTTTTACTGAACTTGTTTCAATCACAAAATCCATGGAAACATTTAGCCATTACAATATGACACACAACATGTCGCAATGAAATACACTGAATAAATGTATTCTAGTGAGTCTATGAGGAAGTAAAAAAGTTTTGGCAAGGGTTCACATCAGTGTTGCTATTTCAAATTTATTCTTGTCAGACATTTTGACCGAAGACAAAGGGGCACAATTATCGTTATTTAAGTAGACGGATTCAGATCACAATTTAAATTCATGTGTCAACAAAATATTCAAATTCGTACATTTAATAACCTATGTAACTCATGAAAACAGTGTACCGGAAAGTGTTGAGGGAGAAATGGGGTTTAACGTCCACTTGACACAAACTAGATCATTTCGAGACTAACATATGGTTCCATTTATTTCCATAATTCGTTTACGCGTAGGGGTCTTTAGCAGTGGGATGAAACCGGAGGACCCGGAGAAAATCCACGAGGTTGGACAGGCGACTCTACTCCTTGTCACGTACAACCGGGGAATCAAAACAACGCCAGTTGACTCGATGACAGACCTTATGATACAGCGTGCACACGCTAACCATTCGGCCACCCAACCCCCTGTACTTGGGAGAAGTTCAAAACTAAAATTCACAAACTGACAAAAAATAATAATTGTCCTCTAAGTATTATTTTGGGGTTCAAATAATAAAATTCCCACTGCTAAAGACCCCTAACATGTAGGTGTACATGTAAGTGATTTGCTGGAATTAAATTGTAGCATATTGACCTAGTTTGTGGGGAGCTAAGTCGCTAGTCTGGAGGGCTCGTGTTCGATCCCTGGATTTTCCGACATGGTTTCTTCTTGTCAGTGGTATGGAGGGCCTGACAAGGACAGCTGTCTAGTAATTCTGATGGCATGAAAAAACGAGGTCCCGTGTATACATTAGTGTGCATGTAAAAGATCCTTTGGCAGTTGGAATTCGATATAAGAGTAGGCCATAGTACCGCTGCTGGGGCACACTGTATGGCATATCCCCATCATCATTAGTCCAGTCTGAGCAGAACAGTAGGACATTAAACCCCATTTCATTTCATTTTATTTACTTAGTTTGTTGTTGTTCTTAGCGTTTAACGTCCGCTTCCACCGAAGGTGATATCGCAGACAAGTTCATTTTAATGATCTTAGCGCACGCGCAGGGGTCTTTGCTGTGGGAGGAAACCGGAGTACCCGGAGTAAACCCACGAGGTTGAGAAGGCGCCCCTATCTCCAAGCCACATACGCTCACACCTGGGATCGAAACCACAGCCGCAAGCCAGAGGTGACCGGCCAACTAGAGGTCGAAGCGTGACACTCTAGACCACTAGGCCATGTTTCAAATGGAGGTTAAATCCCACTTCTGTATCTCTCTCTCAACTTATAAAGAAATAAGATGGCTTTATGAACAGTGTTTATTGAATGGAGACTTGATAAAGACTGTTATACAGAAACAAGATGGCTTTATGAACAGTGTTTATTGAATGGATAAAGACTGTTATAAAGGTATTACTATACAGGAAAGAGAATGATAGAATATGAGTCACAAAAGTTCAATGACTACTATGCTCTTTTCGTGTATTAAACTACTGGTATAGAATACTAAACAGGAAATATGGTCAGTCCCTTCTCACATAGTTGTGAAATAGAGGGTTGGCAAGTCCTAGTGGTCTAGAGTGTTGCGCTTCGACCACTAGCTGGCCGGTCACCTCTGGCTTGCGGTCGTGGTTTCGATCCCTGGTGTGAGCGTATGTTTTCAAGCAGAATAAAATCATAATGAGTAAATAAACTGCAGTCAGTGAATCCTAATCAGCATTGTTTTCATTTTTTATAATTCAGCTTTAAGGGGAAGACTAACGATTCTCAACAAGGTTTCCATAAATCTTAAATATATATTCAGAAATAAACCCCTCTGTAACACAAGCAGAAATGTTTTTGTAAGCGAGAAATTAATTCTTATTAAAATCAGAAGTGACATAGTTGGTTCAACACACTCACTATAGTCTCTATAGAAAGCATACAGGTTTGGCATAAGTTTACAAAATCTGATCTAAAGGGCTGTTTATTAGGATATTATAAACACAAATTTATTAATTTTTTTTAACATTTAATACACAAAGCCGTAGTGTAAATTTTAAACTGGTTCACCTTAGCCGTCTGAAGGTCAGAATAGTTAAACTGGTTTGGCTTATAGTATGTGTGAACGCAACACGATGCGGTCTTAAAAACCCCAGCGATTATGAACTGGTTTAAAAATAAGCGTCTGAACGGGCTATAAGGCGCACACATCAAACCATTGGACAGACCAATAAATCTAAGACACACACATTAAACCATTGGACAGACCAACCAACCCTCTACTACACATCAGTAAGTGTTATATCTAATCTAATTGTTGACAATGACTTCATGTTTTATTCAGGATATCTGAGTGGTATCTAGCAAGACATTTACCTCACTAATGACAATATCTATACTACATAGACCCACAAGGAAGTAATAAGAGAGAGAGAGAAAGAAAGAGAAATAGAGAGAGAGAGGGAGGGGGGTAGCGGTGGGAGGAAACCGGAGGACCCGGAGGAAACGCACTAGGTTGGACAGGCGACCCTACTCCTTGTCACGTACAACTGGGGAGTCGAAACCCTGCCAGTTGACTCAATGACCTGTGTATACATTGGTGTGCATGTAAAAGATCCCTTGGCGGTTGGAATTTGATATAAGAGTAGGCAGTAGCGCCGCTGCCAGGGCAAAATTTCCCTCATAGCACACTGTATGGCATATGCCCGTCTTCATTAGCCCAGTATAGGAGCTGAACAGTAGGACGTTTTCATTTCATTTCATTTCAATATTTAGAGTTATAGTCCTCTGATGATATACATCCACCTTGTTTTTTTGGCTGTAACCATGTCAATTATTCAGTCAATGTCCAACCAATATTGCTTTGAATTTTTTATGTCCACAGGTGGGGAGGGGGCGTGTGTGTTGTGTTGCCTACACACACTCCCTTCTGGCATCGCCACTGCTTCACTACAAAGATATTTAATATAATTTACAGAGAATTCAGAACTAAAACAGTTGTCAGTAGAAAAAGGAAATAAATGAAAATCAATAATGCGGTCAATAAATAGTTCCTGGCTCCTCTTATTTCCCTGTTTTCATTGACTTACTAAATACATTACTCACTAGTATAGTTGGCATAAAATTACCATTACGCTTCTATACAATTGATTTTCAGGCATTAAGACAGACAATTCCTAGCTCTCAAGTTTCGTGATTGAATTTTTCTTTGACTACAGAATAAAATGGAATTATCAAAGTAAAGATGACCAGACGGAATAAAATAGTAGATATATTCTGAACAAATTATGAAATGAAACTGGGTGTAGCGTCCTACTTTTGAGCATTAACTGGGCTAATGAAGGTGACCATGCCATACACCATGTAGTGTGATGTTAGCGATAATCTCCCCTGAAGGTAGCGTTTCAGCCTACAGTTATTCTAATTCCAACTGCGAAGAGTTCTTTTACATGTACGCCAATGAGTACAGGCCTGGAAATAACGGTTTTAGATGTACCTGACAAAATGTCAGGAACTAATGAAATAGTACCTGACATTTTTAAACTTCGTACCAGACATGTATTAATAATATCAATAAAAAAGACAAATCGGTGCCGGGCAAAATGACAGGCGCCAGAGGTTCTGTGCCTGACAAACCCTGAATTTGTGCCTGACATTGTCTGTGACAGGTGCCTTATTTCCAGGCTTGCGATTTTACTGGTGCATATTGAATCTTGAGCCTCTAAATCAATTTTTTTTTTTTTCACTTCAGTAATTAAACTGTCACTTTTAATTAAACACCCTTAAATTGTTTTGGTCATTTTTTTAATCCATATAAATATCGTGATATAAAACAGTTTTATTTCTTTGACTTCAACAGGATTAAATATTTAATAGCCATAGAAATATCAATTATTCTGTTGATGTCTTGGTAAATAAAAGGAATATAGGATACACAGACATAAATTTATAAACCAATTATAAAATGTATGTCACTATTATATAAGAAATGACCAGTCAGACTACCGGTATTTATCACTGTAAATAAATTGTAACAAAGATATACATGTAATATCTAATTGTGACATCTCGACAAGCCTTGTCATCTGCTAAATATTTATAAATCAAATAGGGTTTAACATCCTACTGTTCTGTTCCTACTGGGCTAATGAAGACAGGCATACGCTATGCAGTGTACTATGAGGGAAATTTTGCCCAGACAGTGGCATTA